TAATGCATCTAATATATATGTATTGTACCTCATATACCATATATATATATATATATATATATATGTGTGTGTGTTTATACAATATAGTATGATATGTATTTTGGTATATGGTGTTTATACAATATAATATATTATATTTATAGGTATATTTTAATGTTAATGCATGATAATATATATGTTTTGTAAAGTATACCTTTTTTCTCTTATATATATATATATATATATAATATAATAATGATAATTGCGATTGTGGCTGTTTATTGGGATTCTTATCCCACACATATATATATATAGTAGTGATAATTATGATTGCTTATTTATTATGTAAATTTTATTTATCTCAAGAGTGTATTTGTCCACGAGTTCACTTTTGAATATCAATACATCATTTCTGGCAACCTTCATCATGCCCCAGTGCATACCATGCTCAACATATTGATTTATATTTATTCACCATACAGCTCCCAAAGGTCGAACCTTTCTATGCGATGAAATGCAATCCTGATCCCGTTATCATGAAGATGTTGGCATCTAGCTTGAACACTGGCTTTGACTGTGCCAGTCGCGAGGAAATGCAGCTGGCGATTGAGTTGGGAGTTTCCCCAGATCGCATTATTTATGCAAATCCATGCAAAGCTCCTAGGTGAGTATCGGATAATATTTGATTTGCGATTTTGCAACAGCGTAAATTTTCAACTTGTAGTATATAAGTTTTGGGTTTTGTACACGTTTTAACATTCTGCAATGTCAAGTACCCACCACCTCAACTTACCCGTCCTCACATATCCTCTTATAACATTGCAGCCACTTGCGCTACGCCAAATCCGTCGGTGTGGATCTCATGACCTTCGACAATGAAGATGAGCTTTGCAAGATTAAGCAAGTGTACCCCAATGCCCGCCTTGTGCTGCGTGTGCTCACGGACGACTCATACTCAGTGTGCCGTCTGGGTGTCAAGTTCGGAGCGGATCCTCGACGTGTGTTCTGTCTACTGCAGACAGCAAAGGAGATGGACTTGGATGTTGTTGGCATCTCGTTCCATGTGGGTAGTGGGTGCTACAACTCTGATGCCTTCTTGGACGCACTCCGTGTAGCCAGGGCCGGTTTTGACGCTGGTATGTGAACATTTGGAGCGTGTTGGCAAGCCTTTCAAGTATCCAAATGGGCAGTTAAAAGATGCGATACGCATATAATACGTCTAAGTCTCGGCGGGTTATAATGCCTTACTGACCTCAATTATTCATACCTTGTGCAAGTAGCCACAACTCACATTTTCATTTGTTTCACTTTCTCTTGATGCAACAGGTGCGGAGATGGGGTTCAACTTCACACTCCTGGACATCGGCGGTGGCTTCCCCGGAACGGACGATGCTGTCATCTCCTTCGCCGAGATCTGCAGCGTTTTGACTGACGGGTTTGCTCGCTATTTCCCCCAGGAGAAATTCGCGCACGTGCGCATCATCGCTGAGCCCGGACGCTACTATGTTGCTGCATCCCACTCGCTTGCCGTCAATGTCTTTGCCAGACGCCAGATTCAGGGCGATAGTGACAGTGACTTGCGATTGGAGCGTGAGGATTCTGGTGTGAGCGGTAGCTCAGATATCGAGAGCGGTCCCAATACCGCGAATGATACCTGGCATGCCGACCGGTCCGATGACGAGAACTTGACCCAGTCTCAGGCTGAGCTAGCAGTCAAGTTCATGTATTATGTCAATGACAGCACATACGCCTCCTTCAACAGCATCATCAACGATCACGCTATTGTGGTTCCACAGGTGCTCAAGAAGGCGGAAGAGCCCAAGTCCAAGCATCTCTCAGTTCTCGGATCAGCTGATGATGAGCAGCTGTACGCTTGTAGCGTATGGGGCCCTACTTGTGATGGTCTAGATTGCATCAACAAGGAGGCGACTCTACCGAGACTTGCGGTAGGGTCTTGGTTGCGCTTCGATGAGATGGGTGCGTACACGTGCGCGGCTTCCTCCCGCTTCAACGGGTTCCAGTTGGCTGGCAAGCGCTACATTAACACCGAGGTGAACACTGATGCTCTGGTAGATGAGGTGCTCACAGGGCTTGGCCTGACCCCAATGGAGTACGTTTGTGATATACTGACTGAGGGGAAAGTCCAGGCCGGAGCGGCTCTGTGCAATTGAGAGCTCTGGGGTAATGGTACGAAGCGCACGGTGAAAGCCCCGGGCAATGTGCCATACCCCTTAATGATCCCGCATGAGGCGATGGGGACGATGGGACGTGATTGTTACCAAGATCCAGGAAACAACCACGTCATTCGCGATCCTGACGCTGAGATTTTTGATCATGACGTGGATATAGTGTGTTCTGCACGTCAAATACCCGACAGATTTCGCAAAGCTGAAGTAATAATCATTTCCAAGGACTGCTTCCCTTCATAAATAAGCCGACATTGTATATTAGTGTGTCGTGCTGTATCGCGCGTGCAGGGTTTGCGCTGCGAATATAATTTCGTCAGGCAAACCAAATAGAACGTTGCAGGCCTGGAATAGCATTTCATAGCAAATACACGATATTAGACTTAGAGAGGTAGACACGTATTTTAATCAATAAATATATTTTTACCAAATATAATGGCTGCAGACCTGGAATAGCATCTGAATAGCAAATGCACGATACCGAACTTAAAGTGGTAGACACTTATTTTGATCATCAAATAGGGCTCTAGCTAACTTCTTCTCATGACAGTCACATTGAGTTCAAATTTAAATCAGTTTGCATCGGATTCATTGAAATCAAATTCATATTGAAATAAGACAGATGAATTGAATTCATCGGAATCAATTCAATTTCAAATTTAATTGGAAAAAATTGTCTGTTGTCTTGATGATATCAAACACATGGTTGAAGGCGGCCTTGAACGTGACAGCTGATTTGCGAGCGATAATAACGTGAGATATAGAAGAAATTTGTAATGGAGAACAAAGTCAATACGACAGTTAAGAAGATTCAGAACCGCAAAGGACTTTCCGAACGGGGGTAATTTTGGCAAACGGCATGTGAGGATGGATATTGTAAACCTCCAACTCTATTGGCAATTTTTCCAATTTATTTTAGATGATATCGTATCTTGTCCTCAAAGCCAAATTAAATGATGAACAAATGTGATATCCAACAACATGGGTCAATTATACGAGCATAAAGTAGGAATTAGGAGCCTATAGAGGGATTGGTTTCATATGAAGCCAAGTTGTCTGTTGTTTGTAGCAATGTAACCATTGCCGGCGACGAATCATGAGCCTATATGAAGATAAATATTATGAAACGCGTAGACGTTGTTGCTTGTAGCAATGTAGCTATTGTCGGCATAGTTGGCCATCAGGCTTTTCCCACCAGGTTTGAACCTTTGACTGTATTAGGCGATTTTTATTCTATCCTGATGTAGCACCGGTGTCGTTCGTTACCGAGGGCAATTAGAATTGGCATGTACATGTCTATTCCAACAAGGGAGAAGCGGATATACATATATATATATATATAAACACACACATACACACACACACACACACACACATACACAAGCACACACACACACACACACACACACACACAC